ATTCCTGCTCAAACATCACAGTATAACATCTGCCTTTTCAAAAACAAGTATGACACTATTATAAATCTCAAATCCTCTTCTGAAGAACTGAAACCTAGGAGGTTGTTCTTTGTCTTCCAGCTGTGCTAGTGTTTCTTCCTAACTACAGCATCTTTAATTTTACACACTATATTCCATTCTATTTTTTAAACTGTTTCTCTGATGTCAAGACCACTTTCAATTTTAGCCTTTTCTCCAACACACTTGCCATCTGTTTCAGCTTTGTGCTGTTTACATACTTCTAAGTCCTTGGTGACAAAAACAATAGTTAGAATCGAACCTAGGACTGACTGTGAACCATCATTCTATACTTTTTTCTATTTCACAGAAATCACAGAAACATTAAGATTGGAAGGGACCTCTTGAGATCACCTAGTCCAACCCCCATGTTCAAACAGGGTCAGCTAGAGTAGGTTGCTGAAGAACGTTGTCAGTCAAGTTTTGAGTATCTCCACTGATGGAGACTCCACAACCTCTTTGGGCAACCTGTGGCAGGCTTTGACCACCCTCACAGTAAAAAAAGTGTATTCCTGTCTTTAGATAGAATTTTGTGTGTTTTAATTTGTGCCCATTGCCTCTTGTCCTGTCAGCGAGCACTACAGAGGAGAGTCTGGCTCCCTTTTCTTCATTCCCTCCCATCAAGTATTTACACACACTGGTAAGATTCCCTGAGCCTTCTCTTCTCCAGACTGAAGAGTCGCGGCTGTCTCAGCCTGTCCTCATAGAAAAGATATTCCAGTCCCTCAATCATCTTTGCAGCCCTGTACTGGGGAGCCCTGAGCTGGACATGGTACTCCAGATGTGGCTTCACCAGTACTGAGCAGAAAGGAAGGATCACCTCCCTCGACCTGCTGGCAATGCTCTTCCTAATGTAACCCAGAATGCTGTCGGCTGCCTTTGCCACAAGAGCACGTTGCTGGCTCACGGTCAGCTTGCTGTCCTCCAGGACCCCAAGGTCCTTCCTCTGCAGAGCTTGCTTCCAGGAAGTTAGCCCCCAGCATATGCTGGTACATGGGGTTATTCCTGCCCAGCTGCAGGACTTCACACTTCTCCTTGATGAACCTCAAGAGATGCCTCTCTGCTTAATTCTCCAGCCTGTCCAGGTCCCTGTGAATGGCAGTACACCCATCTGGTGTACCACCACTCCTCCCAGTTTTGTATCATCTGTGTATTTGCTGAGGGTGCACACTGTGCCATTGTCCAGGTCATTAATGAAAATGTTAAACAGTACTGGTCCCAGTATTTACCCCTGAGGTACACCACTCGTGATGTGTCTCCAACCAGACTTTGTGCTGCTGATCACAGCCCTCTGGGCCTGCATGTTCAGTTGGTTTTCAATCCAATGCACTGTTTGTTTTTCTAACCTGTACTTTGTCAGCTTGTCTATGAGGATGTTGTGGGAAACAGCACCAAAAGCCTTACTACAGTTGAGGTGAACAACATCCACTGCTCTCCCCTTGTCCACCAAGCTAGTGACCTCACTGCAGAAGGCTATCAGGTTGATTTAGCATGATTTGCCCTTCATGAATCCATGCTGACTACTCCCAATCACCATCTTGTCCTTCATGTGTTTGGAAATGCTTTCCAGAAGGATCTTCTCCATCACTTTCCCAAGGACTGAGGTGAGGCTGATCGGCCTGTAGTTCCCCAGATCTTCCTTCTTTCTGTCCTTGAAGATAGGAGTGATATTTGCTCTCTTCCAGTCTTCAGGAACCTCTCCCAGGCACCATGACCTTTCAAAGATAATCAAGAGTGGCCTCACAATGACATCAGCCAGCTCTCTCAGCATTCAGTGCAACCCCTCAGGCCCCATGGGACTTAGGTATGTCTGGTTTGTTTAAGTGCTCTAACCTCATCCTCCTTCACTGAGAGTAAGGCTTCCTTGCTTCAGACTTGCCCTCTGGTCTCAGGCACCTGGGATTCCCAAAGGATTCCTTTAACTGATAAGGATTGAGGCACAGGAAGCACTGAGTACCTCAGCTTTTTCCATATCGTTTGTCACCAGTTCCCCTGCCCTGTTCAGCCGTGCACTCATACTTTCCCCAGTCTTCCCTTTGCTGTTCATGTACTTGTAGAATCCTTTCTTGTTGCCTTCAACATCCCTTCCCAGATTCAGCTCCTAGTTGGCCTTGGCTTTCCTAACCTCATCCTTGCAAGATTGGACAGCAAACGTATACTTCTCCTGTGTCACCTGCTCCTATCTGCACCACTTGTACACTTCCTTTTGAATCTAACCACTGATTAACAACCCTTTGAAGGCATGAAAGACCTATGATATCAAGCATTTCCCTCCTCTGTCTCTGTGGTAAAAGAAAATTAAAGTGGTTGGGTTTGATTTCTCCTTAACAAACCCATATTGCTGTTATCATCTACTCATTAATCTCCAGATGTTTACAAGTAATTTGTCTGATTATTTAGTCCAGAATCTTTTGGGAAACTGAAATTAAGCAGATTAGCCTATACTTCCCCTACTTCCTTTCCTCCCTCCCTTCATTGAACTTTTAAGAGAGACTGAAATTAGAACAATAATCTCCCACTGTAAAACAGAAATTAGTCAACAGTCTCCTATAACAAAATACCCAGAATCAGAAATAGAGTTGGAAGACAGCAGAGGGTAGCATTTGGGCAGAAAGGAAGTCTGAAGTACCTGGAGGCTTATAACTAGGAATTACAAGTTACTTGTATTACCCGAAATCTTCTGCTTCTTCTTGGGAGAGTCTTTAAGATCTTCGCCTTCCCCTTGCTCAGATTTCCTCTTGCCTTTCAATAGTACTTCTGCTAATGAGTAAGAACAGAAATGCTTCATCTCATTATTAAGTCTGGATAATAGCTTTGAGTCTGCTGCTGCCCCAGCTTATCCTCGTATTCAATACTTAAAAAAAAAATAGTTTTTGTAAGGCACCTGGACACCAGTGAGCTAGACGCAGCCTTTTGACTCAGTAACGTTTAGGCACTCCACAGCCTGCAATCCTCCGACACAGAAGATATGGAAGAAACAGTGCCACAGCATGGTCTGGGAAAACAGTACTCCTCAGGAAAAGAGCCAGAGGGTGCTAGGTTATGTCATAAAAAGCTCAAGTGCACACACACAAAAAGAAGCATAGAGAAACAACGGCAGGTGGGGAAACTCAAATAACATCCTGCCTCCCCTCACTATTTCCAGGCCTATCAAAGGCTTATCTTCATGAACACAGAGAAGTACAGAAGCGCAAAGGCAGGCAGGGGAACATAAACTATGGACTAGTGTTCAAAAAACGGGTAGATGTGGCACTTTGGGATATGGTTTAGTCTAGTCTGCCCTTGATTGGTTTAGGTGGGCTTGGTAGTGTAGGTTAATGGCTGGACTGGATGATCTTGAAGGGCTTTTCCAACCTAGACGATTCTATGATTCTATGACTCAAAGAAACAGACACCTTCCTTCCAGGTCTGTCCCTGGAGACCCACCAGGATGAGTCAATGGGAGTCACTCTCTGGAGCACCCTTTGGAAGGGGGAAGGAGGGGAGCGGTGAGAAGGGAAGAGTGCGGTGTTAATGCCTAGGGTTATGTGACACATGGGATGCTAGCGAAGAACAATTCAGGATCACGCAAGACTGGAATGTTTAAGAGTGGTATCAAAGGAAGGGAAAGGGAGAGAATTAGCTGATTTGGGGAGGATCAAGTGTAGGAAAATAGAGGCGTAAGAGGATAAAAAGGGCCACTTGCTTGTAAACAGGTGGTTGGTCAGTACACAAGTCTGGTCACGCCTGACACCACATCAGAGGGACCAGAGGAGAGCAGTGTCTGTGCGTGTGACCCTGTCTGTAAGGAGGTCTACAACAGCAACCGGCACGGCTCTGCGGGCCGCAGGAGCTAGCACGTCCACGTACCAGCAATTGAGGAGACCGGGATCCAAAGGCCAGGTATTGAGTAGACTGAGTGTTTAAGTCCAGCTATAGGAGAGATCCACATTGCACATATGTGTGCACACACAAGCGTACACATACATGTATATGTACTTCTTTTATATATACTTTTTATATATGCTTCTTTTCTCTCGCTAACACATCTTCATCCTGATCAGCCAGAGAAGGAAACAGGATAGAGGCTGTTGGTGCTGTTTGTGTGAGTGCTGAGCACGCCTCTTCATGTTGATCTGTATGGCTGGCTGCGTATACATGTTGTGTACGTGTGTTTATACCTACAGGAATACAGGCTTAGCTTTGCTACTGGTTGGACCTGGGGTGTGGAGCTGCAGCAACCTCGCTTCTATCAAGCTATCAGATTCAGCTCTCCCCACAACAAGATGGAATACAGATTCTAACTTAAAGATAAGAAGAAAGTGCGTTAAAGAAGAGCAAAGTTTTGGCTCTCCACCACACGAGAAGTTTGGAAAACAGCTCCTAGGCCAGGAAATCTGAATGTTCCTACAACAACATAAGACCCAACGCACTCCAAATAAGAAAATCCTAAGTGACAGAAGTGAGAAAATAAAAGAAATAAAAACATCCTTTAAAAAAAAAAATCTACCGACCACAAAAGCCATGTCTAATCCAGAGTACTGCTGAAAGGTCCCCTTTTCTACATCTTTAGTGTTGTTTGTTCTATTTTTAAAGCTCTCAAAGAATATTCCTGATACGATCGGCAGAACCCTTATATGTATCTCTTCTACAGATAAAACTGAGTTCAGTCACAGAATCATTATTTTAATAGACAAGTCACTCAAAAGGAACTGCGTAACATCAGAGAATTTTACCTATGTTTCTGCAGTGGAGGGGTTTATTTCTCCTGATACATGAGCAGCATTACCAAGCTTGTAATTTGTGGCTGAACTGCAGCATGTCTTTCAGAAGTCATCTAATCTTTCATAAAAGAACCGGAGAGAAAAACAGTTTTGCATTGAGCCAAGAGTGATGAGTACCTTTTTTTTCTGAAGATTTGTTAATGCTGTTTTTTATTCCTCTCATTTCCAACCAGTAAGCAGGCCTGCGAATGGTCCGCTTGCTTCTGGACTCTGCACTTCCATTCACTCGACTCTTCGGTGAGGCAGAAGAAATGTTGCTGACTGTCTCGTCATAGTTACTGTTCAGTCCTAGGACAGTAGTTTCTTCCTCCTCAAATTGTTTAGACCTGGAAAACATCAACTTGAAATCCTATGTATATGTATGCATACATACACACACAACCACAATAACTTGACAGACAACATCCCTTTCATCTTCCCAAGTATTCTAAAAATTCATCTCAAAATTGATTGAATCTCCTGAGTTTTGTGAACTGAAAAGTGCCAGCAAGAGAAAACAGCCTAAATGTTATTTTTCGGTATATCTTTTAGAGAATGACATTAGAAAGCTACTTGAGAAGAACAGAAAAAAATATTCATCCTACCTCAAGCCTTCAACTTAAGAAGCAGGCACAAGGTAATCTCAATTTAAAAAAATACATTTATCCTTAAGCAACCAATGTGGAATACAAGAATTCTTCTGCAGCCCATCATTACAAAAGAGACCTTTTCCATCCCACAAAGGGCAAGATCTCCTTCGGTATGTATTCCCAGAGTCAGAGCTGACACTACATAATTAAAAGACTTAACACTAGTAAGAATTTTAACCAGCAAGGCTTTCAGCAATGAAGACAGCCTTATAGCATATGCTACAAATCACACTACATTGAAGACTAATTTAGACTAGCCAGCAGCACTGATTTTTCTTCCTAGACATCAGAGGCAACTTTGTTTCACTATTCTCAAATATTTCTCACAGCCCTGAAATGCCTGGACATTACACTACTGTACATGACAGCAAAATGATTAGGTGTCAAAGAAACATAGAGTACCTATTCTCTGGGCAAATACCATTAACATAAGAGGAAAGAACAGAAAACAGAAACACTTTTCAACATATCCCATTGCTACCACAATTCACAAACAGAAGTGGATCGCTTGAATGATGACTGTGACGGCCATCCCACCAATACTGTCCCACACCCTGAGCTGTGGAGCTCACATGTTTTAACACCTCAATCCAGAAATTAATAAGTGGGGGACACTGATGGTACCAGGTCAGATTACTATATACTATGTTTAAGGAGGTACCGCAAAAGGACAGGGAGAATTCTCAGATTAAAGCCTTTCAGCTGCAATCACACTCAAAATACATAGATTTTGGAACACCATTTGGTCTCGAACATAAAATATTTATCTTCCCAGTGGTAAAATCCTTTTGAAAACAATAAATAAAAGCTAATATCCCTTGAAGTGTCAGAAAAGCACTTTTCATACAAACCAATAAGCAAAGTCAGCTGAGACTCTCATCACACAAACCAAAATCATTGCGGCTCTTAAAATTTGGAATATTATGTAAAGACCAGATACATTCCAGTAGGAATCTCTCAGCTTTTCTCTTGCCCTCGGTCAAACTAGACAAGAAACATTCACATACTTTTTGTTTCCCAGAGACCTCTTGACCTTCTGTTGTCTGTGATGTCCAGGCCTCATGTCCTAACAAAGTAGAACAATTCACATTAGCAGCGTAATTTGTCTTCTTTTTCCCATGTTTCACTTTTCAGTTAAATACAATCACCTGCACTTTGAGGATGTGCATACCATCCTTTGCAAAGGAAACCACTGTTTTCTGCAACAAGGAAGCGTTTAACCTTTTCAACTGCAGCTGAATTAGAACCGGAATCAAAATAGCAACGAGCCCCTCTACGCTCCCTGTATGAAAGCCAATCACTCCCCTTGCACTGGGGCGATGGAGTGTTGTCTCCATTTCATTCAGTAGTACCTGCTTTCTGCCTAGACTTTATCATGCAATGACAAATATTTTAGATCCTAACTTACTAGTTTTTACATAGTACTTATTTTTTTGTTAATGAAATAATTCTTGCATTTACCATGCCATATTCCATCAACTGCCCAGATGTGCACTTTGTCCACATCACAGAATCCTTCTCCTTATTTAACAAAGACTTTTTGTCACCTATTGTTTGTTGCTTCTTATGCTCCTATTAAGACATGTAACTTAACAGATACCATTGACATTCTCAAGTCAGTATAAACAACTCATTTGCTGTACGTTGTTCCTGGCATGTGAACAATTATTTACCACCTTCTTCCAAATACTAATAATGACTCAATGTCGTTCTTCATTGGGAAACCCAGGACAAAAATCTTAGTTATACACACTAGAAAACAAAAATCATTGCCGAGTAGAAGTATAGGAAATACCAAAACTGTAACCTAGGAACAGAGATAGTATTTTGCCATGTACAGGAACTGACTAAGAAACTGGGGAAAAAAAAAGAATATGGATAAATTACCTATCTTCTTTATAGAAGAATGTAATGCACATTATCAGCTGGACCATGCTATGAAGCGTTTTAGTTACTAGAAATAAATGATACACATGATGTGGGGAAAACAGCAAACAGGGATATGACAGAATTTGAAGAAGTCATAAAAATGTGATGACTTGTCAGGAGGAGATGCTGAGAAACTTCAGGCGTTGTATCAAAACTAGGGAATAAGCAGCTTCAAGGCAAATGAAACTCACCACTGAAAAAGAACACACTGGAAAAAAATTAACTCCAGTCTGTCTTTTATGCTCTTGCCTTCTAATTTATGCATAGGAACAAGCAGAAGTTCACTCTTCCCAGGACCACAGTCAGCGAGACACCCTAACCACCAGGTAAGAAACTCAGTCGCAGGCACTGACATCAACCAGATGAATTCTTAAACTGACTATGGAGTGTCAGACTCTGCGTGGGCCTCCAGCCCCAGCATCTCCTCTCATGGAAAGGTTAGGGAAGCAGCAGGAGAGAAATTCACAGCTGCTTGATCAATGACTTCACAATCACATCTTGTCTTCTTTGGAAGAAAAGTCAATTGAATGTTTGTGTTTGTATCACTTTGATATGGTTTACAGGCATCTAATAGTGCAAACAGCAGCATTTGGGAAACCCCAACATCAGAAACATGGAGAAACCTCACTGAGGAGCAGCTAGAAAAAAATTAGGCCTGTGAAGTTATAACGATAAAAACAAACAAACAGGCAGGCATAGTCTGCTGCAATCAGCTGGCCTGATCTACCATGAGAAGAACCTAGATGATTGACAAACATGGCATTATGTTTTAAGATTGGGGTTTTTTTGTTTTCTTTAAGAACTACAAAATCTTGCATAAAAGTGAAGATCAGTATTAAGAATTTAGGTCATAGTTAAGGACTGTGGAAAAAAAAGGAAAGTATAGTTGATCTGTCTATCCTTCCTTTCTGGGAAGTTGATAGCAGCAATTATGAAGGAAACATCTAGAGAAACTGTTGTTTAAGTTTTGAATGTTTTTTATTTCTACAGTGTACTTCCCACTTAGAGACCCAAAGTATGCGCAGGAATTCCCAAAGGCTGGACATATGGAAAAAAAAAAAACCACAACTTCCTTGCATAGGTTAGAAAAAGAGAAAGAGTGGCCTAGAGCTTGAAAAGATGAAGAAATTTTATTTGTGAATGGGCCATTTCTGCCTCCCTATGGACTCTGGGACGTTTCTGTGACCTGGAACACGGCCTGCTGCTGGAGACAGGCTGCTCCACAGCAAAGCGTCTGGAAAGACAGTGTTCAGAAGTGATTGTGCCCCTGTGCTCGGTGCTGGGGAGGCCGCACCTGGAATGCTGTGTCCAGTTTTGGGCCCCTCAGCACAAGAAGGACATTGGGGTGCTGGAGCGTGTCCAGAGAAGGGCAGCGGAGCTGGGGAAGGGTCTGGAGCACAGGGCTGGTGGGGAGCGGCTGAGGGAGCTGGGGGTGTTCAGCCTGGAGAAGAGGAGGCTGAGGGGAGACCTGATCGCTCTCTACAACTACCTGAAAGGAGGGGGCAGGGAGGGGGTGTTGGGCTCTTCTCCCAAGGAACAAGCGATAGGATGAGAGGAAATGGGCTCAAGTTGCGCCAGGGGAGGTTTAGGTTGGATATTAGGAAAAATTTCTTCATGGGAAGAGTGGTCAAGCATTGGAGCTTTGGAGCAGGCTGCCCAGAGAGGTGGGGGAGTCCCCATCCCTGGAGGGGTTCAAAAACGGGCAGAGGTGGCACTGGGGGACATGGTTTAGTGGGCATGGGGGTGTTGGGGTAATGGTTGGGCTGATGATCTCAGAGGGCCTTTCCAACCTCAGTGATTCCTAGTTTTTACTTTCATTAA